AAAGGTCAATAAGCATATGAAAGTTACTCAAGTCATTAATAACCAGTTAAATGGAAACCAAAACCACAAGATTCCACTATATGTCCACACCAGAATAAAATGAAGACCACACCAAGCGTGGTGAGGATGTAAGTAAATGGAACTTTTTGGAAAGTTGTTTGGTAGCATCCATTAAAGCTGAACATGATGTGCGTACTATATGACCTTGCAATTCCATCCTTAATCAATTTGCCTTGCTATAACGGAATGCCTAAGGCTGGGTTATTTATAAAGAGAAAGGGTTTATTTGGCTTGCGATTCTGCAGGTTGTACAGGAAGTATGGCACCTACTTCTGGTGAAGACTTCAGGCTGCTTCTACTCATTGCAGAAGGTAAAGGGGAGCCAGTGTGCAGAGATCACATGGCCAGAGAGAAAAAGGGGGAACCGAAGCAAGGCTATTTAACAAGTGGCTTTCATGGGAACTAACCCAGGAAAAACTTACCCTCTTCCTGCCCAGGGTATTAATCTATTCATGAGGGACCCAAGACCCAAATATCTCCCATTAGGCTTTGTCTCCAACACTGGGCATCAAATTTCAATGAGTTTTGGAGGGCACAAATACCCAAACTATAGTACAGTCTTAAACAAAATTGTATACCTATGTGCACCAAAATTCACGTACCAGAATACCTGGAACGGTACTAACAGTTCCCAAACAGAAAATGAATAGAACATCCATCAGATAAATATCATGTGGTTTATTCACACAATGAAATACAACGATAATAAAGAACCATGTACAAATATATGCAACTAAAATTTCACATACATAATATTGAGGAAAGAAGCCAGATATAATGAATGCAAGATGTTTAATTCCACTCATGTAACATTTCAAGCCAAACAGAACTAATTTATGATCTAAGAACTCAAGACAGTGGTTATTCTTGAGAGGCAGTAACTGGAAGGAATCCTGACAAGGGCTTCTCAGGTGCTGACTGTATACATTTGCTTGTTCCACTGGAGAAAAGTCACTGACATTTGTACAGATGATACACTTCAATAAAAACTTAAAACAATTTGCCTCAGCCTGGATACTCGACTCAGACTAAAAAAGTGTTTCCTTCTCTCTTGGCCTCTCCTCTTGGCAATCACATTACCACTCTCAGCTCCTGCCACTTGCAAATGGTGAGGGTGTGAAGGGAATCATTCCCTCCAACCTACAGATGAACTCGATTTACTACAGGTCCTCCTGCTAAAGGAGGTTTTCCAAACTGTGAAATCCAAGTCTATCTTTGCTTCCTGCCAGGGTGCTCAAGTGCTCTCCTGTTCTCTCTACCCTCTCTCAACAAAGCCTCTAACAGGAATAAACACTCTTCCCAGGGAACATCTAAATCGGCATCAAAGTTATACACTAAAGGACAGATCTCTAATAGATCTAATAGATCTCAGGCTGCAGGTAATGGATAGGTGAGGAGTCATCTGGGCTGACACGACACCCTTGGAGGTATGTCACATGCAACTGGAGTGCAGGCCTGATTTGGGGCAGTGTGTGGAAATCCTGGCCCTCTCTTAGGTAAGTGTGTATCCTCTCCAGGCCCCAGTTTCCTCATCATTAAAATGGTGATGGCAGTGCTTACCTCATAGAGTTGTGATAAGGATCAAACGAGTTATCACATGTAAAACATTTAGAAACATTAGTGAACATTAACTATCAATGTAGCTATGTCCAAGGTATGCTGTCCCCAAAGAAGCATGCCTCAGGATAAGCCTAGGGACAGAGGGCTTTAGGTCTCACCCAAAAGGTTCCATGGCCAAGCTATGAAGAACACTTCTGTGTCCCATTTTTTCAATATTGCATCAAGGAGCAAGCACTAGGCAGTGAGGTATTTCAGGCCTAAGAGGGAGCAGAGGAGAAACTGGGAAGCCCAAGAAAGAAAGAACTGACAGTGCCCTAACTTCAGTCTGATGTGTGTCTGCTAAGTATATAGATAAGTAAATGCAGCAGTGGCCTTCAGAAAATCGGGAATGTTGCTCTGTCAGGGAGCAAAAAAAAAAAAAAATTAAAACTTAACCAGGTGCGTAGTCTATGATAAAGCAGCAATAACAGGGGAGGCTGTAACATCATGCACCTATACTTCCCATTTGACCAACAGGCCACTAAACACCACAGGCATTTTGGCACAATTTCTGTAACTGGACCCTGGTTCCTGATCTGGCCTCTACTTTCAGACCTAGAGACCTCTGCAGTGACCGGCTTGAGACGACCAAACACACAAAGCCTGAGGTAGACAGAGTCGATTTAACAACAAAAACTAACATTCAGTGGCTAGAATACTCACACTGGCATTTACACTCTGTAGGTAGACCTGTACGAGAAGCCAAATCTTCATCAGGATATTTGAATACATATGAAAATAACATAATGGCAGGTAAGCTAAAAACAGGATGAAAAACAAATGATCAAAAGAGCCAACAGGACTAGAAATCTGGATCTTTCATAGCTGAAATGCTTTTTCTGCTTTTCTAACTGCTGACCAGCATTGCTTCTTGCCTCAAAAGTCATCTTTCTTTGGCCTCTGCTCTGATCCTCTATTAACACGAGAAGTGAGTCAGCATTCCTATTTCAATTTCCACGTGTCTCTTGAAGAGCAGGTTAGGAAGCTCACTGTACTAATAATCTACCTTTCAGTCATTACACAGATACATTAACTGGAGTGTGAGTCTCTACCCAATACCTTCTCTGGCTGAAGGCAAATTCCTTTGGGGAGTTACACTAATCCCAGAGCACTTGGTGGGTACTGAAGGTGCCAGAGGGCACAGCCTGAATGTGGTGCCCACATCACCTCTCCCCACCCGGGGCTTGCAGTATTTACTGGAATCTACTAGCTGCTCTCCCTGAATGCTGTGGCCACTGGGGCCTTCCCTTGAGAATATTCTTGGTCCAAAGAATTAAATGTCAATATTCTTGGTTACACCACAATCCGGCCATGTTCCAGACCAAGCATCCCAATTTACACTTGTCATCCCCCTAAATGGCTGATTTGATATTCATTTTTAATTTCATCCTCAGAGGATAAACCCTATGGCAAGTCTGGGAGTGCCCCGCTTCACAGCTCACAATGAGCCTGGGATAGCAGGTGATCTTCCTGGCCCAACAATGAAAAGCCATGCCCCTCTCATAATGGTTACCACACATCCTGAATGGGAAACCAAACATTAAGACTGCAAGGTGTTTAGGGGAAGAGTCCTACCAGCTTTCATCTCGGTGATGGGAGAGAATGTGCAGAAGCCACCATGTCTCCTCCTATTCCTAACTGTCCTTCTTGAGTCACTGCCCACTTAGTTGCAGCAGGGAGACTTGGGGGGTGGGGGTGAGGCAGCACGAGTGGAAGAACAGATAAGGCAACAGGCAAAGGTCAAGGAAAAGGTGGCTGCCTGGACTCAGTGTCTGCAGACATGGCTCTACACAAGTCTCTCCCGTACCTGGAACAGTGGGCTCAGTCCCCAGAGTCCCTCCTCAGATTCAGTCTCACGCTCTGCTCTTTCTACTCATAAAAGGGCTTAGGAACTCCATCCTTCTGTTTTCTCTTTGTATTACCATCAGTTATTCTATCCTGGGGGCGGTGGGGGGGGGGGGGATTCCTCTTTCCCCAAAATAACCATGGAGCAGAAAGGGCTAAAAGAAGCAAGCTAAAAACGTATGTCTTATTACCCGTGAACTAAAACCATGAAATGAGAACAGCAATAAGAGAAGACAAAGCTTTCTGTACCCACCAAACTACCAAAATACTTCCTAAAATTTCCCAAGAACTAAAATGAACCTGAATATGCAACTTTAAGAACTCCCATTCCCCACCTCCCTAGCATCATTACCAAATCTTTACTAGCTAACAGACAGCCACCAGAGTCAGATGTACTATTTCCCAAATGACCTAAGGCAAGAAGACTTTAATTTTTGTAAGCTGCTAACAGTTTGGATGGAGACTGACAAGTTGCAGAAGAAACAGAAATGAGGAAACCCATGTTTTCTTGCTAAAAAGGCTTCTACTCTAACACCACGAACAATCAACATATATAAACTAATTAAGAGACCATGTTTTTAAAACAAGTACTATGGATAACTATAGAAAGTAACGTTTTTATAAACCATCTATAAATAAATGATTTTTGAAAGAATATGTAATTGCTCTGCTTTATACTTAGTGTTTCACTACATCTAAAAACTAGCAAGTTTTCCGAACAGTGGTGTAAAGTAAGAACAACAGCTCACATGGGTATCAATTTTGGAAGAGCAGTCAGTTATACAACTGATCATTTTAATAACAATTAAAAGTGTTCTGAAATAGCAAATAAAAACTTTGAATGAAGATTAGACAATGGCTCCTACTGTTTAAAGTGCTGATGCTGTAAGAGGAACAGGTATTGCTTATTCCTAGGATGAAATGGGCACACAGCATCAGTCAGTGAGAATTAATTGGAAATCTATCTGCTTCCTTTACAGCCTAAATTCCTACTGCAGTCCCATGTATAAATCTGAAAAAAAAAATGTGCAATAGGCTTATACAGAAGTAATTTTCACTAAATCTTGAAAAAAATAACTATGGCATCATTGTAGAATGAAGAAGGGTAAATGTGTCTAATTACGATCTTGATAACTGGAAGCATTAATTGCTTGGTAAAAAATTCTCAAAAGAAAGCCCCAAAATTCCAAAATTCCATCCAAAATGTTCTAACCAGTTCCAGAACTGCAGTATATTTATTTCAAAATGCAACAAATTGCAAAAATTATAGTTAAGTAACTTTTATGACCATCTAAAAATGAGTTTTAAACTTACACCTTTAGTGATATTGAACACTTACATTCAACTGTACAAAATGCAATCCATTTAATCTTCAAAAACACTACATGAGAAAACCACAGAAACGCGCACACTATGGAAATGCTCTCTGACCAATTCTACAACTGCAATAAATTTAGTACTGCAAACGCACATTCATATGCACTGTGAAAGAGTTCAGTTGCTTTAATATGTCATATTTTAATTTTTATGAGCTAAGAGAGCAGAGGCAAATGGAATTCTTAGAACATTGCTTAAAAAGAGATTTTTAAAGGAAAGGTCCCAGCTCATTCTTATATACACACACAAGTTCATCTGTCACAGAAAGCAAATGTTGAATTTATACAGTGGAGTTTCTGACAGCATCCAGAACTAGAACAGAGAGCTCTCAAATACAACAAGATGGATTGTGGAAATCTGCGCAGGACAGAACATAGCTCCTCTGGAACGACTGCCTCCATGCTCACTGCTGTTTCTCAAAAGCAAAAACCAAGTAAATACCTAAAAAGGAAATAAATAAAAGTTTAGTTTCTCATATATTTAGGGTAAACACAACAACGATCTCAGTTCTGTTCATAATTTTGTAAAAATTCCTGGGCTCTCAAGCAACTTTTGAAGAAGAAAAACCCCATTAACTTTAAGATAGGGGATATGTTTACTTGAAAACAAAGATCTACCTACTATGATACTGAGTGACAGCACAGCCAATGGGAAAACCAATTCCGCAGCTGTTAAAAACTCAAAAGCAGTCTGAGGTAAGAAAAATTAAAAGTATGAAAGCAAAGAAAACAAAAACTAAAAAAATCTTATGACTCAAATCTTTTACCTGCAGTGAGGCAGGTAGGTAGAATAATCAAAACTACAATGAATACTACTGCAGTGGTACGCTAAAGCTTTCTATTCAGAGAAGATAAACCTACTAAGAAATATAAGAAATAGATACAACATAGAACTAGTAAGAAATGCAGAGAACATATATTACAAGACATGTTAACATCCATCAAATTATCCAACTGTTTCGTTGTAGGGCCTGGTAAAGATATTGAGTCAAAAGTCAAATGACAATATTTAGAGATACCATTTATCTGGCCCCAACGGTAATAATTCTGCATGTATTTGGTCCCAAGAGTCCTCTCTCTTAAATAAGGTTTTCTGGTCGGGCACTTTGGGAGGCTGAGGTGAAAGAATTGCCTGAGCCCACAGGTTCGAGACTAGACTGGGCAAGTTGACGAGACCTCATATCTACAATAAATTTTTTTAAAAACCTAAATGAATTTAGAATTCTCTGTTTGGAATCACACTGCAGTGGAAATCTACTGCTTCCTGTTACTGTGCTTCACAAATACTGCATTCTTACAATTGAAGGTTTATGGTAACCCACATCAAGCAAGTCTTTTGGTATCATTTTTCCAATAGCATGTGCTCACTTAGTGTTTTTCTGTGTCACATTTTAGTAATTCTTCCAATATTTCAAATATTTTCATTATTATTATACCTGTCAGGGTGAGGAGTGATCAGACATCTTTGACATTGCTCACATAAGTGCTTTGGGGCACCACGAACTGTGCCAATTTAACATGGCAAACTTAAATGGATAAATGTCAAATTTGCTCTCATGGCTCCACCGCTTAGCCATTCCCCCATCTCGCTCTCCTTGGTCCATAATGATACTGAAATTCAGACAATTAATGACCCTACAATGGCTCCCATATAGTCAAGTAAAAGGAAGAGTTGCATGTCTCTCATGTTAAACGAAAATCTGGCAACGATTAAGCTTAGTAAAGAAGGCAGGTCAGAAGCCGGGACGGGCTGAGAGCTAGGGTGCTTGTGCCAGTTAGTCTAGATATCAATGCCAACAAAAAGTTCTTTAAAGTTTTTGTGGTCTGGACAAAAGATCTAACCTGACACACATTCCTTAAGCAAAAGCCTAATCCAGAGCAAGACTCTAAGTCTCTTCAACTCTATGAAGGCCAAGAGAGGTAAGGAAGCTGCAGAAGACAAGTGGGAAGCTAGCAGAAGTTCATGAGGTTTCAGGAGGGAAGCTGTCTCCATAACATAGAAGTGCAAGGTAAAGCAGCAAATACTGATATAGAAGCTGCAGCAAATTATCCAGAAGGTCTAGCTAAGGTAACTGATGAAGGTGGCTACACTAAACAACAGATTTTCAATGTAGAAGAAACAGTCTTCTGTTAGAAGATGGTGACACCTAGGACTTTCATTGCTAGAAAGAAGTCAATGTCTAATTTCAAAGCTTCAAAGGGCAGACTGACTCATTAGGGGCTAATGCAGCAGGTAACTTAAGTGAAGTCAATGTTCATTTAAATTTCTGAAAATCTTGGGCTCTTAGGAATTACACTTTATCTACTCTGCCCGTGCTCTGTAAATGGAACAAAGACTGGATGACAGTACATCTGTTCACATCATGGCTTACTAAGTATTTTTAAGCCCACTGTTGAGATCCTATTGTTCAGGAAAAAGATTATTTTTAAAATATTACCACTCACTGACAATGCACCTAGTCACTCAAGATCTCTGATGAAGATATACAAGAAGATAAATGTTGTCTGCATTCCTGCTAATACAACATTCCTTCTGCCCAAAGACAAACGAGTAATTTCAACTTCAAGTCCTATTACTTAAAAAATATATTTCATAAGGCTATAGCTGCCATCAATAATGATTCCTCTGATGGGTCTGAGCAAAATAAACTGAAAAACTGGAAAGGATTCATCATTCTAAGTGTCATTAAGATAACTGGTGATTCAAAATATCAATATTAACAGGAGATTGGAAGACATGAATTCTGACCCTTATGGATAACTTTGAGGGGTTCCAAGATGTCAGTGGGGGAAAAAAAAAAGAATAAACAAAAGATATCAGTGGAGAAAGTAACTGCAGATGAGATGGAAACACCAAGTGAACTAGAAAGAGAAGTGAAGCCTGAAGATGTGACTGAATTGCTGCAATCTCATGATCAAATCTTGAATAGATGAGGAGCTGCTTCTTATGGATGGGCTCTTGAGAAGGAATCTAATCCTGAAGTTGTTGTGACCACTACTGAAAGGACAGAAAAGGATTTAGAAATTTTACAGAAACTTAGTTGATAAGGCAGTTTGAGAGGAGTGACTCCTACCTTGACAGGAATTCTACTGTGGATAAAATGCTATCAAACAGCATCACATGCTACAGAGAAATCTTGTGAAAGTCAGTTAATGCAGTAAATTTCATTGTCTTATTTTAACCTTTTGCACTCAAACATCCCCTCTGAGGGGACACTGTAAATCTAGCAAACCACTCGGATGTTCCCTCTCAGGGGACATAAAGAGATTGCTGGGTGATTGTACAGGACAAACTTATGCTAGCACCAATTTTTCAAAAATGTATTCCATTCAAATTGCTCAAAAAAGCAAATAAAGAGATGGAACATATACTGAGATATACATAAAAAATACCTGCTGGCATCACGCAGAATGAGAAAGTGTGAAGTACTTTCACAGTGGTGTACAGACTGGACAATAAATTATATATTATTTATGTAGGAGAAGGAAAACGAGACTGCATTGTCTGCTCAAACAGAAAAACATCAGGTGTAAGACGTCAAACAAGTTACTATTGCACAACATGTATCATGAAGCAGTAATGCATGTTGGAGACTGTTTCATGTTACCACATGTTATAAAAATATAAGATAAAATTTTGATTTTTTTGTTATAAGTTCCTCAATGTCCAAAATTCCACTATAAGCCAAATATCATTACAAAAAAATAATTGGTTCCAACGCTTTACTATTTAATAGGTGATTCATTTTTCACTATTTCGTAAAAAAGCGTGGTTGAGCTGCTGGTAGGTGATCCATAAGATGTCTGTGAGGGCAAAGGTTTTTGCCACGGTCACCCCAATCTCTGCCAACTACCACCCTGATCAGTCACCAGTCATCAACATTGAGGAAAGACTCTCCATCAGCAAAAAGATTAGGACTAGCTGAAAGTTCAGATGACAGTGAGCATTTCTAAGCAATGAAGGATTTTGGTTTTTGTTTTTTAAAAAGATGGGGTCTTGTTATATTGTCCAGGCTGGTCTTGAATTTCTGGCCTCAACAGATCCTCCCACATAGGCCTTCCAAAGAGCTGGGATTATTGTGGGTGGGAGCCATCACACCTAGTCAATAAAGTATTTTAAACTACAGTATAGTGTAAACATAATTTTTATGCAGATTGGGATTTAAAAAAATTCAGTGGCTTATTTTAGTGCACTACTCACTTTGTTGTGGTGGTCTGGTACTAAAACTGCAAAATCTCTAGGGTAGGCATATATATCTTCTAATAAAATACCAATAGATTTTAGGGCACAAAGATACTTTTAAAACATCACAAAGACGTTCAGAGCATGCACTAGGATACTTAACAGTGAGTTGAGATAAATCATGTAAATTGGAGGCTTAGGTCCTTAAGAAGTCTTTTGAAAGGAGGGTAGATGAATGATCACAGACTGTCTGAGAGCCTCTAGCTCTTGCCCTTCCAACCCAATCTGTAAGGGAATGTCATACTAGTCTCTCCAAAATACTACTTCGGTCATGCTACCGTCCTACTTCTTATTTACTAGTTTCCAATGTCTTTTAGTTGAAATGCAGTGTGGCTGGCAGTACAGTGAAAGATGGACAGAAAACAGGCAGGGTGATCACCAACCCTGCAGCTCTTGCCAGAAGCAAAGCAGTCCACGGCACCCACAGCCTGTCAGCAGCTTCAGAGCTGACCAGCACTGCTTACCCCATCCTCCACCTCCAAGTGATCGCTCTGGAGTCCAACCCTGCCAAAATCACCCCAAACACAACCAAACCTACTGCAAACAACCCTCTGGTCCTGTCTTTATCTTCATTACAGTCTGATTTTAAATACACAATTAGTCACTTTCTAACTCAAAACTTATGACAATGCCTTCTATGCAGGCATTTCAATTGGGATTTAAAGAAACAAATCTTGAACCACTTCCACTTCCAAAAGCAAATCAACAATTCTGTACTTCCCTTTCTCATTCAAAGCCACCTTCCAGAGGAGCAGCAGGTGATAAAGAGCTTAATGATCTGACCAGCAGAAGACTAAAATGTAGCATAGACACACTAGACTTCTGATGCCAGTCAAGATACTTTCCAGCCCATGAAGCCCTCCAGCTTAGAATAGTATAATCCATCAGAATCAACTGATTCTGAAATGCTACATGCTGGCTATAATTTGGTCACTGCTCTTTTTCTATTGCTTCTCACATGTCCAGACCATTTCTTCCTCAACATCTGGGGCCATCTAATTCTTTCATTTGTACTTTATGACTAAAGCTCACACTTAATAATATAAAAGCATAGTTCTAAGCTATAGTCAGTTCCATCATCATGACCTTTAATCAAAACTTATACCATGCTTTGGGACTAGCAGGATACCTAAGATAGGTGGCCAGTCTCCACTGCAGGAAAAAATAAATATGTAGATTTATGCATCATTCCCCACTGTGTCAAGGATAACCACGCCTGCAAAACCACCCCCAATCTGATTTCTATTAATGGTACCAATATTCAGAGACAAGGAGGCTCAAAACATTGGCCCTATTTGTCTCCCTCCCTTCCTTTTCTTCTCTACTCAACTGAGGAAGTCTTATGAAATTTTCCTTTCTCAAGGCTTCCATGAAGCCATGGCTAAGAGAATGAATCATTCAGGTTAGCTAAGCACAAGTTAGTTCTGTGACTTCAGCTAAGCTGGTTAACTGCTTTCTCATCTGTGAAAAGGAGACATAATAAATAATACCTATTTCTAAAGTTGCTGTGAGGATTAAACGAGTTACAACAAATGACAAGCTTAGAACAGTGCCTGTACATGTTTAACTGCTAGTACTACTTCCCAGATTTCATTAGCTTCCATTAAATGCTCCTTTACCTTCATTTCCTGACAGTCATATTAGCACTTGAAAGTCTGCCTAGTGCTATGTTTAGTTGGGTCTGTCTCTTCCATTAGATGTACATTTCTAGAAGGCAGAGACATAACTGTTTACTTTTTTATGTCCCAAAGCCCTCTCACAGAACTTCACGTGAGTCTATATTGTTGGATTGTCCTTATTTACCAATTGTACTTGCAACATAATCAACAACCCTATAAGGGTATTATTATCTTAACAGTAAGGGTCTGCAAGCTGATTTCTTCAACATCCACATGCTGAAGAAGCACAGGCCTTCATGTATAGATTTTCTGGGCTTCTGCTTTCTCTTCTGAAGATAGGAGCCTCATTTTAGAATGTCTTCCTATCATGCCTGTTTTTAATTATACACACCTGTAACATATCCTGTGCACTGCTGCTTCACTAAATGTTCTAGTATTATGCCTTCACTGTTGACATCAGAGTGGCCAGAATCAAACAAAATACACATAAGTATTCTATGTAATATAGTTTGAAATAAAGACATCAAATAGAGATGGCTATTGCGTAACAAACAGGCAAAGAGAATGTTTTACATATGCTCCTGAAAGTTTATGCTGGGCAACATCCTGCATACAGTGTATCTTCTCTTGGCAGTACTTACCTGTACAAGAAAGGGGAATCAGTCATATGCAGAGATGTAGGTATATTTCTGTGTGTGCCAACACAAACACACACACAACCTAAAGTGTGTCAGAAAAACTTTTCAGGTTTTAATTATACCTTTGAAAAAGAATCCTTGAATTAATCAGTTAACTCACACTGATGATATACTCACTTGTAGCTTCCCATTCTGATTTACTTAAGGTTCCCTAAAATTTAAGAAAAGGAAAAAGAAAGAAAATTTTAGATTCAAAATGTAAATAAAAATAGGTTTTTGTTTTTGAGACAGGGTCTCAACTGCTGCCCATGCTGAAGTGCAGTGGTGTGATGATAGCACATTATAACCTCAAGCTCCCAGACTCAAACAATCCACCCACCTCAGCCTCCTAAGTAGTTGGGATGACAGGTGTGAGCTACTGTGCTGAGCTAATTATTTTTAGTTTATTTTTATAGAGCGGGGGTCTCGAACTCCTGGTCCCAAGCAATCCTCCCAATTTAGCCCCTCAAAGTGTTGGGATTACAAGCATGAACCACCACACCAGGCTCTTATTTTTAAAAATAAACAGAGGTGGCCAAAAAACTCTAACTTCACTGAAAATACACATATACTTCACTCTTAATAGTGTTATGATCTGAGCATATAAATACACCAATGAGATTAACTTTTAAAGCTATATTCTTACCATTTCAGTCCTCCTACCAAATTCTCTAATCTACAGATTCTCAACCAAAGGGTAAATGTGTGTAAAGTGTACAGTACGTGAGTGTAACTAGACAGATCATCTATCTGGTATTTTTAACTTAGAAAGTAAAAAAATTAAAGAACAATGGAGGAAGAAATACAATTTTTATGTTTTTCTAAAAGAATCACAAAATAAAGTATGTATCATACAAAGAAAATAAATATTTAAGTAGCTATCAAAATATTAATATATGTATGTACAGCTTTGCACACACCACTAACAAGATCCAGTGGCAGTTCCAGTAACTAATGTAATTTTCAAGAGTGATAAAAGCAAACAATGTGCTAAGTTATTAGCGTAAATATGCTATGAATATATTTGTAACTTCTATTGATAACAAAGTCATAGCTATAACTAATATCACAGGGGTATCACTAGATTCCAAATTTTTAAAAATACAAACTTTCACACAGAAGTTAGTAAAAATGAAGTTGTAACTGTTCCCCATTTAAATTCCCAGACCTCTAAATTCTACCTCTGGAATGCTGTGAGTTAGTAGTGCCTAAGTTAGCCTCAGATATAGCACTCCATGCTCAATTTACTGTAAATTTTATCCTATATTCTATGGTTATAACAAGTATCATAACACGGGGAAAAAAAGACTATTACATATCTGACTTGTAAGTCTGATTTGCACATTTTATTTTAGCTTAAATATTATAAAAAGTGAAATAATCTCCTAAGTCTCCCTGTAATGCATGTTTTACAATTTCTATAAAATGCTTTCAAAAATGAATAAACACTTACTAAAGGTAACCTGACTTGACTGTTTCCCATGTACTTTGCTGCATGTTCATAGTCATCCACGTTCTCAGAGGCAAGTTTAGCATTCTCGTTTGCAGGATATGGCTGGAGGAGCAAATGAGAGCCCTAGTTAAGATATTACATTAAAACTTAAATTCAAAATTAAACACACTCACCGAAACAAAAAGAATTAGCAGAATAATCCCTAAGTATTACTTTAGAAATAAAAACCACTCATATTTTTGAAATATGAAAACAAGGGGCAAAATCCTCTTCTAAACAGCAATTATGGTCAACTTTTATCACAATCTTAGGATATTTACAGCTGGAATAAACTATATAATTTAATCATCACCATTTGCTGGTTAACAGCAAACATCTGAATCTTCTTAACTGCTAGTCAAGGGCCTTTTCTGTTACAATACAAAGCTTAAAGAAGGTGTCATCAAAAGAGCTAAATATAAAAATGATGGCGATTTAATGCCATGAAAAGCGTAAGTTAGCAATTAGAAAGAACACAAATGAAAAAGTAAACAGAGAACGATTTTAAGTTAACAAAAGATGTGAGTTTAAGACAGTGAGAAAAATAATCCGGTCTCCAAAATATAGGCAGTTCCCGTATTTACATAAGAATGTGAAGGGTCAGAAAAAACTGCTCCTTTTAAAGGGTATGCTGACAAAATGTCTACTCAAATTACCTAAAGTACTATTTTTAATCCATTTTACACTATGAAGCATTTTGCCTTTTAATACATGTAAATCAAAACTATAGACCAAAATCTTGATAAATAAAACAAAATAAATTTCATAAAACACTTAACAGAACAGCCATCTACTCTACAAAGGTTTTTACAACACAGTTCTTCATTTGTAATTCTTTATAATATAGTTACTGTCGTATTGCAACAAACCAGGTAGGAAGGTACCACTTTAAACCTACAATTCCCTAATAAACTTTTAGGAAAATGATCTATGAATAGCTACTTTGCTACCTTCTCTTTCACCTTTCTTTATAAATATACCACAGCTAGCTCAGGCATTAGAAATTAAACTACTTACTGTTTAAAAAGCATTTGACTATTTGAAACTTCCACATCCTCAGCATTAGCAACTTTACTTTTTATCTTATCTTAGATGGTAAGTTTTTTTGACCATCAATTCCACCCTATCACAAAAGTTTAAAACTTAATTTATTTTAAAGATAAGGGGTACAACTCAGGGTTAGATATACAAACTAGAACTTTATTTTATGTAAAGATGTGGGGTACAATTCAGGGTTAGGTATACAGACTAGAACTTTATTTTAAATAGCTGCCAAACTATTGTTATAAATCTGTTCTTCAACTTATCAGTGTATGACTCCTCCATGTGCTTATCTGCCTATCACTGAACATCTAGTTTTTCTCCTCTACTAATCATTTTAAAAGGTCGACCATCACTCTAAATGGACCCTGAACATTTACCACAATACTATAAGAAACGGATTGGCAGTAGCAGGATACTGCCAGAGTATGGTGGGGGGAGGAACACAACATCAATAAGTGGGTACCTGATCTCAAACCAGGCAAAGTGGGGACCAAAGGGAGGCCCAAACTTTACCTGTATGATGACCAGCTGCATACCTAATCCTGAATTGTACTCTACATCTTTAAAATAAAATTAAAAAAAAAAAGACCAACCAATACTGTAAAGGTTATAAAGCTGCAAAACCGACCCTTTTGTCAAAATTTACTAAAATGTGTATATTCCAGTGTCTCCTCTCAAAGGAGTTACTTTTCCAGAACTGTTCCCAGAATAAGATCACTGGTGGGGGGAAAAAATAGGCATCAGGACTTTAACTACCGTTCCATGGCCTTCATCTTTTCATTCTTCCTTCCCTCTGCTCCAATGCTCCAGGAGACCAGAGAAGTTTTATGGGTACAAGTGAAGAACCAAGCTGAAAGCTTCAGGAAAAGGCTTTTTATGACAAATATAAATAAGTAGATCCTTTTAAATCTCTGACTTGGACTAAAGCCGTGGCATCTCAATTGCTCTTTCCACCTCTAGTCTGGTCTCAATGGTCTTCCAAGCCATCCTCTGTAATGCCACCCAAATAACGCCCTACCTCTTATCGGGTCATATTCTTTCCTGCTCCAAGTCCTTTTAGGCCCACAGGAGTTACTTGATCAAGTAGGAAAACTAAAGGACTTTTCAAACTACATGCTATTACTGCTCATGTCCCCACATAGCCATGGTAACAGGTCCTATCTTCAAGAGCAGGAATGGAGAAGGAAGACTGCTAAAGAAATATGAAAGTTATTAGTATTTCCTCAAGCAGTCCCTGCTCTGTCAAGATTCTCTGCCTTTCTCCTTCTAGGAGTCTTCCTTCCCAAAAGGCCTTTCATATACTCTATTCACTGCACTTGGAACACTTCCTCAGTACTGCAATCCTCACATTGTACTGCATTATTTCTTTGATTATGTAACGTATATGGTGTATCTCTTCAATATTCCATAAGATCCTTTAAGCAAGAGGACCATGTTATCCCATACCCTACTAAGTACATTTTAAAATAAATTACAAAAATGAACCCATTACCTATATGCTAAGAGAATGTCTAAATAACTGATTCTTGTGCATGCAAAGCCCCATCAGGAAAGGAAGATGTATACTAAAGGTATGTGAGGAGATGAGAACTTATGCACATAGTTTTTCTAGTTTTCTCTTCTCCTTCAAGACAAGCAAAACAAGTCCTTCCTACTATTAAGCAAATAAAAATATTCTTAATTTAAAATATAGGAAATACAACTAATAAAGAATATCACATCTTATCGATTATGGCTTTCAAAAGACAATTTAGAACTTGAAGAAGTTTCTCCCAACTTGAAACCGTGGGAGTAGCTGGGTGTGGATGTAACTTCAACAGGAGACTTTTGTTTGAATACCACTTATAAAAACTGAAGACAGCCTGAAGGCCATGCGATGCTGCATTAGTCATTTATCCTGAGCTTCAGGCTGCCAACTTAAAAAATGTGCAAAATGACTGCTTTGCCTACTTCATGCAGGTAACTATAAGGATAAGTAAGATACAGTGTGGTTAAAGTACTTAAAAGAATATTCTAAATGGAATAAACTGAAGAAGTTTAATGCCCGTCTGATGAATATGATTCTATTGATCAATAACTGCCAAACTATTGTTGTAAATTTGTTCTTCAACTTATCAGTAATAAAAATACTATTTTAGATCTGTTCAATTAAGCATTGTTTGATAAAAGAAAAACAATCAATGGCTGTTTATGTTTATAGCTTATATAGACTACCTTCACTGCTGGATTAGAAGCACAGGAGTCCAGGAGGTAAAGTAGGCCTCAGCAACAATACTGTCTAAAAAGACTGGAACTTTGCTAAATAGTCACCACAGAACAAAACTATGCATTGTATGAGCTTGCTGGGACACTTGCCAGGAAGATTCTAAATTACTGTTGTAACCAAAGGACGTTGTTGTAAAAAAGGGGTTCTCAACTAGGGGCAATTTTGCCCACCAGGAGGCATCTGGAGACATTTGTTGGCTGCCATAACTCAGGGACAGGGTTGTTACTGGCATCTCGTGGGTAGAAGCCAGGAATGCTACTGAATATACTGCGATGCACAGCATTTCACAACAAAGAATTATTCAGTCTAAAAAGTCAACAGTCTTGAGGTTGAGATATCCTATTTTAAAACAGTGCCATCTAGAAAGTAGAAGTTGGTAACAGCAGTATTCATTTTTTCATTTACTGAGCACCCACCATGCAAAATTTCTGTATCAAGCTCTGTCCAAAGTGCTGAAGGGTGTAATACACATAACTCTTAAGTGTTTAAACAGCCTTGAAAGGATCTCAAAAACAGCCATGGTTCTAAATACTCACCTCTAGGCCCTGCATTCGTTTTAACAGCATTTTATTTTCATTGTTCTTAATCTTTTCTTCATAGAATTCCAGAAATGTTTTCTTGTAGACAAGTTTCATATTGTACTTCTTTGCCATTCTGCACAAAAAAGATTACTTGATGAAAAGCCTTCCAAATTTTATAATTCCTCAACAGCTTACTTTTGGACAACAGTGACATCTTCTGGACTTAACTAAAAGAGCTACCATTTCCTTCAAAATTCACAAGAGTAATTATACACAATAAATGAAGAGTAACATACCAATAACCATGCGTAAAGAAACATGCATTCTAAACCTCGGGGTTGCAGATAGCTCCATTAGTAGAACACATAGGTCAGGAAGCAAATGAAAGATAGTCTCAGGGGCTATGAGATGGCGAGGAAGAGCTACAGGGTCTACTTGTGTCCATTTCACTTTATTTGAAAACAGCGGTCAATTTCCTTCCGAAAAGATTCACTTTTGGCTCTGACTTCTCTGGCAAGATACACTATTCATTTTTATCCTACATCTTGGACTGCTTCTTTTTTATAGGTTTCTTTTTACCAACTTCTAAACATTAAAGTTTTGAAGAGTTTGAATCAGAGTCCTACTGACTTCCATCCCTGACTTACATACAGTATATGTCAATAGCTACCTGGAGCCAGCTTTCTCTTACGTTACTCACTGATTCCACTGCTTATTAGAAAGCTTCACATGGATATGTCACTGGCATTCTCTAACTTCCCATATCTAAGGTTGGGCCTCACTAGATTGTTTTTCTGCCAACCTTTCCTATTTCAGTAGGTACATCTAATGACACATGCCATCTTCCCTTCTACTACTGCCACTGTGCTCAAAACACATTCCTAAGTACTCTCTATTTTACCTGAAAAGCGTCTATTTCAAATAGGTCCACTTGTTAACCTCCTGCATTTGCCACCACCCTGCTTCAGTAGCCATCATCATTTAGTGGTACCAATCCAGAAACCACTTCACACCCCCTGCTTCCATTTTTACTCTGCCTCGGTGAATTTTTAAACTGTAGCCAGATTAAGCTTTTAGGATTACACACCTGGTCATGCCACTATCCTCTTTCACCCTCTTTACTGGGTTCCAGTGCATTTAGGACACAGTTCAGAAGTCTAGAACATGGTCTCCAAGTCACTGATCTGCAAAGCGGATGCCACCTCATCTTGAGCCACTAGGGTCCTGACTCCCTAAGACCCAGTCACGATGGTTTTGCTTCGACTCCCTAAATGAACGCATCTTTCCCACTTTGGGGCCTTCACACGCACTATCCCTAGGACAGGAACAGTCTCTCTTCTAGTCTAAAGCTGGCCACCTCCTATTCACCCTTTAGATCCTGACTTAAATATCATTTCTTTATTGGGTTCTTCATTTCATCAACTACATTAGGTCTCCCCATTAGACTCAGGTTTTTTTTTTTTTCCTCACTGCATTTGCCGAGTTTATAATTATATATTTGTAGATGACATGAGGGAGCCTGGAGATGATTTCAGGCCACAGGTAAAGGAAGAAAAGGCAGGGGAAAAAATCAGAAAAGGTAGGTGGTAGGGCTTGTGTACAGAGTGACAGTTGAGGGGACAGGGTAAGAGCAAACACTGAAGGGCAACTGGAATTTGTATGTAAGAGGAATATGTGAGACAGAACTGTTATTTGAATTAGCCCTTCTTGGAAAGACAACGTGAGCAAAGATAAGTCTCTTTTATTCCACGCAGTTCATTTTCTTTTATAAATATGCAAAATAAGCCTTTAGAAACAAAACAAAGTTTTACACCTAAAAAAGAAAAATCATAATTGCAAATAACTGAGACCCAATTTGACCAATTTGATTACATTTTGCCACATAAAAGCTAATTATATTGGTGTTCAGTTTCTCAGTGTACTGGCAAAAAGGCATTGGAAAACCCCTGCACATTTTCAAATTCTGTCTCATTCAAAATGTTTCCATAAATAATTTTTTTAAAAATTAGATATCAGAGTGATGACTAATGACCTTATACATTTACCACCATCAGGAAATTTAAGTAAAAAAGATTGACAGTTCTTGCTTAGCATTTAAGAAAAATCTTTTGTTTTATTCTCTATCTTTTTGGGTATACTAAAATCACCAACCTTGCTAAACTAAAAACGTCAAGCTATTATACTAAACAACATATCAAAAACAATTAATTTTTTTTTTTTTTGAGTTGGAGTCTCAATCTGTCGCCTAGACTGGAGTGCTGTGGCATGCTCCCGGCCACTGCAGTCTCTATCTGCTGGGCTCTGGCAATCTTTCCACCTCAACCTTCCAAGTAGCCAGAACTACAGGCGGGCACTACCACACCCGGCTAGTTTTTGACTTATTGTAGAGACGAGGTCTCGCCAAGTTGCCTGGGCGGGTCTCGAACCCACAAGTTCAGGCAATCCACTCGCCTCGGCCTCCCAAAGTGCTGGGATTACAGGCTAAACCACCGAGCCTGGCCTAATTTCTTTTTATAAAGTTGAAGAGCAGCAACATTTCCCCAAAGTTTATTAATTTTCAAAATTAAAAAATGTTAAATTAAAAAATTTATAAATAGCTTAGTAGCATTTTCCTCATGTTCAGTCATAATGCTACCTGCCTTTCTTATGTTAGTGAATAAAATTTGTATATAGAGTTCCTGAAAATCTTTTATCCATAATTTTAGACGTGACTGAGTCACAATTCAAACAATTACCAATCAAAAAATAAGCAGACAATAAAGCTCTTCTTTTTCCCAGTTAATATTCAAAATAAAAGATTTATGTTTTGTTTTAAAGTAGGAAATAAAGTTCACTGAATTATGACTTTTATAGTCTTCCCATCAGAGAAACTCGGGAGGCCAAGGTACATTCTTTGACGCCTTACCTGATTAAAGCCCGGTACCCCCAGTGTCTACAGTTTGCCAGGATTCCTAGAAATTCAGGCGCATAGGTGAATAGATTCCTGAATCAGGATTTTATTATCAACATTGCCTGTGAGACATAGGCAATTTCAAAGCTATAGTGAAATGCAAATAATTTTTAACACCCATCTCTGTCAAAAAGAGGATCTTTGATTCATGAGAACTTATTTTAACGGTCATACCACCCTGAATGCACCCGATCTTGGAATCTGAAAATTCACTGTATATTACCCAAGTTCCTTTTTTTTTTTTTGATTTGGAGTCTTACTCTTTTGCCCAGTTGGAGTGCAGTGGCACACTCACGGCCACCACAGCCTCAACCCACTGGGCTCAGGCGATCCTTCCGCCGCAGTCTTCCAAGTAGCTGAAACTACAGGTGTGCACTACCATGCCAGGCTTATTTTTTGATTTATTGTAGAGATGAGGTTTGCCAAGTTGCCCGGGCTGGTCTCAAACCCCTGAGCTCAGGCAATCCTCTCACCTCGGCCTCCTAACGTGCTGGGATTACAGGCTTGAGTCACCGTGCCCAGCCAACCCAAGTTACTAACAGTCACTTCATTAAAAACTTGTTATTTGCAATATCAGGCATTTTGTACCACAAGTTGAAGGCGAAAAGCTCCCTTTCTTACGTACAGGATAAAAAATTCCAAAAAGGAGAAAAAAAACTAAGTAACTGAAGCTATAAGAGACCTATTTATGGTTCCAATCCTAAACACGAAACTATAGTATTTTTTTTTTTTACAAATTATACTTTTTCTTTGGGCCCCACTTAAAACAAGGAATGAAAAGAAACGCTGTTTTCTGTTTCTTTCTCTCTTAAGACAAAAAGAGAAGTAACAGATTAATGACATTCTTACTCATTTAGCAATGGAAAATACACCAAAAATTCAGGGACATCCACAACACCTTCCAAGTTGAAGTCATATTTGCAGCCAAATAAAGGATAATTCCCTTTCGTTTGAAATTTCACAGTATATATTTCATTTCCAAATGATTCTGTTTCTGAAGCTTCAAGGCGTCTTCTAACAGGGTTTCCAACCAAAATAAAGAGATTAAAATCATGATTAACAAAGACTTACTTTATCAGGTTATACATGTGAAAAACTATGATACAAATTAAAAAAGACTTAATTAGCTTTTTAATTAGATTTGAGCTGCTTTTAAGAAGCAATATACCAAGAGTCTCACCAATAAAATAGTCTGGAAGTATCACTCTCATGAATGCTGGTTAAGTCTCTGTGTTCCTAAGTATCTGACTTGCATTTTGTCTGACACTAACTTCAGTCTCTAACTTACACATAAAGAGGTTTTAAAAGTTCATTTGTAAATTTGTCTTTTGAACTTAAATTTGAGTATCTATTCAAATACTTTATCAAAGTGCTTATTAGTACTTGTAAGATTAACCTAGCCATATTTTAGAAATCTACATATAATAAACATTTGCTACTCAATACATTTAATACTGAGTATTTTATAAACCATAATATATTTAAAAATACTTACATCAGTTCAAAGCTATTGGGAGTAGTACCAATAAAATAGCCACCAGGGCTAAGCCTCCCACAAGCATTTCTGAGCATCATGTCAGCCTGTTCATAGGACTCGAATGAATAATGATAGACAAACTGACAACTGCAGATGTCAAAACACATTTCTGGATCACAAAATTTGTCAGTCAAAAGTTCCTGAAACAAATTGAAATAGGTTAAGATTTTGAAGTAACTACAACACAGATTTAAAACTTTTTAGTAAATTAATTTCTAGAATTTAAGGTTCTTTCTTTTCCCTAGTCTTCAAATCTATCCTTTCCCTTGTATAATAAAGGATATAAGAAATCTTTCTTTTTTTTTTTAGTTGGAGTCTCACTCTGTCACCCAGGCTGGAGTGCAGTGGCACCCTCACAGCCACAGCAGCTTTGACCTTCTGGGCTCAGGCAATCCTTTTGCCTCAGCCTTCCAAGTAGTTGGAACTACAGGTGTCCACTACCACACCTGGCTTATTTTGTTTGTTTGTTTGATTTATTGTAGAGACAAGGTCTCACCATGTTGCCTGGGCTGGCCTTGAACCTGCGGGCTCAGGTAATCCACTCACCTCAGCCTCCCAAAGTGCTGGGATTACAGGTTGAGTCACTGAGATTGGCCAGATTCTTTTATTATAGTTTAACAAAATTTGATTCTCATTTTCATAGTATTTAAAAACCTAGGGATTCTGAAAACATGTTGAAAATATATCAGTCAAATTATGACACTCAAGGTTAATCCTTTCATTGACTCTACTTGAGAACTAAATTAAAATGACATTCAATAATAACTTGGGATAAAAAAGTACCTAGCCTTTTGTATTTTTTAAAAATGCAAAAGTGTTTTAAAGGTATTCTAACTTTCTGGCAATCCAATTTTCTGGCCGTATACTATCATCTTTCTTGTTTTCAAAATATCAAAGAAAATGTGCATGATTAAAGGTATCTGTAATAGTTTAATGAGCTAAAAGTCAACAATGAACAAAAAGTCCATTGTGAGATTTTCACCACTGAAGTGCCTCTGTAGTTCTTAAATTGTTTTTTTTTTTTTTTGAGGTCTCACTATGTTGCTCAGGCTGGTCTCAAAGTGATCCTCTCACCTCCCAAAGCACTGGGATTACAGGCATGAGGCACTATGCCTGGCTCCCTCTATAGTTCTTTAACTTGATAGTTGTTAGAAAATTCAGAAATAGGTAGAAGTTGGAAAAAAACCAGACTCTGATATGTTGGGAAACTACCCTAATAAATTACAAGGTGAACAAAACATACAGGAAAGCAACCAAGTGATCTCAACAGTTCAGATTACTAAAAGCAAAAAATTATGTGTCCAGTTGGTCATTTAAGGGAATTTATTACAATAGAATTTCTAATTGAAAGTGAAGGTGCACGCCCTAACATTTTTATTTATTTATTTTTTCGAGTTGGAGTCTCACTCTGTCGCCTAGGCTGGAGTGCAGTGACATGCTCACGGCCACCGCAGCCTCAACCTGCTAGGCTTAGGTGATCCTTCTGTCTCACCCTTTCAAGCAGCTGGAACTACAGGTGCGTGCTACCACACCGGGCTAATTTTTTGATTTATTGTAAAGACAAGGTCTCGCTAAGTTGCCCAAGCTGGTCTCAAAGCCCTGGACTCAGGCAATCCTTTCACCCCCTGGACTCAAGCAATCCTTTCACCTAGGCCTCTCAAAGTGCTGGGATTACAGGTTTGAGTCACTATGCCGGGCCTTACATTTGTAATGTTTTAAAATACATTTGAAAAAACAAGTTGACTTTCAAAACAAATTATTTACAGAAATATAAAAAACCTAACTGACCAAAAAAAAAACAAACTGTACCTTTGAGCAGTCGGCAGTTATGAATTCTGCACTGAAAATATGTTCATTATCACGACGGTTTTTCATGTCCTCATACCGCTGCTGACACTGCTTGACAGAAACATCAGCAATATCTGAAAGCATGGAAGGGTGTTAGTAATTGTCAAAACTGAATGGCAGCAATCTAGACACTGAGTTCAAATGACAAACTTTGGCATGAGCTCCAGCCTTAGTACCAGTGAAAAGGCTCTATTTTCTTTAAAACGAAAGAAAAGTCTGTGTTGCAATGCCAGTGCCCTATTATATTTCAAAAGGAACTAAAAGCGTATTCAACAGGTACTAACACCAGAAAAGTTCTATCGTGATTTTAAAACTCTTATTCAAAGTAAAAAGCAGAAAGTTTAGAATTCAATCCGAATTATAAAATGTAACACTATAAGACCACTTTTGAAAACACCAGCACTTTGGAGGCCACGGCAGGCGGACTGCTTGAACCCAGGAGTCCAAGACCAGCCTGGGCAACATAGCAAGACCTCATCTCTAAAAAAAAAAAATTAAAAATTTAGCAGAGCATGGTAGCACGTGCCTGTAGGGCCAGCTACTCGACAAGCTAAGGAGGGAGAATTTTTTGAGTCCAGGAGATTGAGGCTATGGTTAGCTGTGATTGTGCTCCTGCACTCCAGCCTGGGTGACAGAATGAGATCCTGACATGAAACAAAATGAAACAAAATTCACAACTTTTGTTAATGAAGAGCTTCCTCTACTATGGCAGAGCGGGCACAGATTTTTTTTCTTTACATTCTGAGAACACATTGATTCATTATTCTGCCTCTTGTAATACCAAGATATTCCATGGTATAGACACGCTCTGGCCAACCATTTTTAACCTATGTATGAAATTTTTAGGATGTATCTAATTGTAATTTATCTCTGAAAACTAAAAAAGTTGGTGAAATGTTTCTTCTACAATCTATCCAACATACAAAATTATCCAGAGATTATTCAAATAAATAATGTAATGATGTTGATAGCAATATAGTAGCGTTCATTAATTTCTTTCTTTCTTTCTTTTTTTTGAGTTTGAGTCTCACTCCATCGCCCAGACTGGAGTGCAGTGGCACACTCAAGGCCAGCCCCCCCACAAAAGAAAATACCAAGTTTCTATTTTTATAATAAAATGTTATTTGCCCTTTTCCGTTTTGAGATTTGCACTGATGATACAAAGGCACTGGTGGGCAAAATACTAGTCTTATCACAAATACGAAGTAGTAGCACTAAACAGTACTTGTACTTCATATATCCTTAACCACTATAAAGTAGGTAGGTGGGAAAAGACAGTTACACCTGACAATGTCCTTGATAAAGCAGTAAAAATTTATTTCATTAAATCTGGGCTCTTGAACACGTCTTTTTAATATTCTGTGTAATGAAACGAGGGCAACAAAACATTTCTGCTATATAACAAAGTTTGATGGTCATCTTAAAGAACAACACTGGTATGACAGTTTTAAGTTAGATGTACTGGCCACTGTTTTCATAGAAAATCATTTTGACTTGAAAGAAGACTGACAAAGTTAGGCTATCCAGACTTGAGTATCTGGCACATATTTTCTTGGAAATGAACAAAGTAAACCTATAACTTAAAGAATAACAATATACAGTGTATTTGTTACCAAAGATAAAATTTGACTTTCAAGAAAGAACTACAATTCTGAAAAATTTAATATACTGACCACCATGGGCTGGACTTCTTCCCAATACTTACTTTTCTGATCGGTGGTGATGTTTAACAAATGTAATCCATCCTTCCATCCTTCCTTCCTTCCTCCCTCCCTCCCTCCTTCCTTTCTTTCTTTCTTTCTTTCTGAGTTGGAGAAGCACTCTGTCACCCAGGCTAGAGTGCAGTGGCATTCTCATGGCCACTGCAGCCTCCACCCGCTGGGCTCAGGTGATTCTTCCGCCCCAGCCTTTCAAGTAGCTGGAACCACAGGCATGTGCCATCATGCCTGGCTGATTTCTTGATTTATTGTAGAGACAAGGTCTCTCCATGTTGCTCAGGCTGGTCTTGAACCCCTCAGCTCAGGTAATCCTCTCACCTCCGCCTCCCAAAGTGTTGGGATTATGGGCATGAGCTACTGCCCCCAGCTACAGATGTAATTTGATTGTCAACATTTAGAGGATATGCATAACTTCAATAAATATTTTCCAAATATTGGAAAATAATGCAGGAAATGTAAGACAGACCAATGGATTTTTATGTAACACAGTAGGAAAAGTTCATCAAAAAGTTTTCAGATTCCATATTGTACCTAACCTTTAAGAAACTATTATTTGCTAAATCTTGATGTAGTATCAAAGACAAATATCCAAATGATGAGCCAAAAAAGGCTTTTATGGCTAGGCATGGTGGCTCACGCCTAGCACGTTGGGAAGGCCAAGGTGAGAAGATTGCCTTAGCTCACGGGTTCAAGACCAGACTGGGCAACTTGGCAAGACCTTATCTCTACATTAAATTCAATTAGCTAGGCATGGTGGCATGTACCTGTAGTTCAGCTACTTTAAAGGCTGAGGCAGAAGGATCATCTGAGCCTAGGAAGTCGAGGCTGCAGTGGCCATGAGCGTGTCATTGTACTCTAGCTTGGGAGACAGAGTGAGACTCTAACTCAAAAAGAAAACTTTCAAAATACTCCATTTTTCAATAACTTATCAACCAAAATACATACTGAAAGCAGAAACAGGTGTGAGAATCTAATTGTCTCCTATTATTCCAGACTTTTAAAGGGATTTGCAAGCTGGGGGAGAAAAAAAGTGCCAGCCTTCTCACCAAATTTTATTTTAACAAATTAAAATATATTTTTAAAATTTTCAGCTTTAATTTCTTATTTCTAAATAGTAAATATCAATAGATATAATTACATACACAAAAGCTTTCTGGGGTCCTCAATAATGTTTGAGAGTGAACAAGGCTCATAAAACCAAAAAATGTGGAAACTGCTGATCCAGGCAGCTCTTCAAAAGTAGTTATGTACTTCTTATAACTCACCACACTGGAAAGAAGGTGATCTCTATTTGCCTCATTTCAGTGTTAAGGCTGACCATTGGCTAAAGTGTTTGATTCATTCACCTGTTAAGTTCCTACCAACTTTTCACCTAATGGCTTTAGTATCTTTTAAAAATTGTTGTCACCCTGGCTCAGTGGGTCAGCCTGTTATTCCAGCATTTTGGGAGGCCGAGGTGAGTGGATTGTCTGAGGCTGAGAGTTTGAGACCAGCCAGGGCAACTTGGCGAGAACTTGTCTCTACAATAAATAAAAAAAATTAGCCAGGTGTTGCGGTGCGTAACTGCAGTTCCGGCTTTTTGGAAGGCTGCGGTGGAAGGAAAGCTGGAATCCAGCAGGTAGACACTGGGGTGGCCTTGAGTGTGCCACTGCACTCCAGCCTGGGTGACAGAGTTGCCTAGAGTTATTATTTCTTCAAGGATAAAAAAATAGTGATTCTCTAATTCTATCATGCCTTCTCTATTTATTTGTTACGATTTTTCAACAAAGAGGAAGTGCCGTTTTCAACCATTTGGTTTCCCTAAAATACTGTTCATATTGGAGAAGAAAAATGTTTGGTTCAGGTCATGAGTTTCAGAATAGTGAGTTTCTTAGCAAACTCCAAAGGTGAATAATGAGGCTTTCTCCTCTATTTTATGTATCTAATCACTATTCTTTTTGATGTTCAAATTGTCCTATCTTGACCAGTGGCAATCTTTTCATGTCTGCCCTTTAGATATGAGCTCATTTTTGATAGCTTCCTTCCCTTCAGGAAGGACAAGTTATTCCAGATTCATTAACCCTATTACAAACACAACCATCAGAAAAGTGTCATGACTAATTAAAAAAAAGAAAAACCATCTCATGCATAGTAACTTGCAATAAGATATTTTATCAATATGCTGATAAGGAGATCGTTCTTACTTTTCACTCACCATTTGTGACTGGACATAAATTATTCTTTCCCATACAATTATTTATCTTACCAGTACAAACTAGCTTGTTAATTCTTCCCTTTTTCCATTTGAGCAGATCTCCACCTTTGCCACATCCCAGGTCCAAGACAGTGATATCACGTTTTTTTTTCTGTCGTATCTTTTCTAAAAATTCCCCTATAGGAAAGAAATCAATCATAATAAATTACCTCTTTATTTTTACTAAAGCCTAATCTGTAACCTCTAGTAACCTACTAACCTCTGCGTGATTGTAATATAAACTATTACACATTCATTTCTATAGTTAACTTGCAACTTTTGGTAAATATTTAAAAATAAAACTAAGAGTTAATTAACTTGACCTTCCATCATTAAAGAGTGTGTGGCATTTTAGAAAGTTAAGGCAACTTTTGAATTTGATTCAACATTTAATAGCAGACATTTTAAATTCTAATTATCACAAGATGACCCAATAATTGTTAATGATAAAGAGAAAAAACTAATTATTCATCTTTTTTTTTTTACAGCTTTCTCATTCCTAGGTATTTACGTATTACACACCTAAGCACATCAAGGTAATTGGAGCATAAGAGTGCTTGATTATCACAAGATGTTAGGCTTACCACCAAAAGAAATACAAGAACCAGTTTAAAAAACTATACCTTTTAGTATTACCATCACCAGAATCCTTAAATTCCCTAGTCTACCAAATAACATTAACAGCCAATAAATAAAATTAGTAAGTCCCAATCATCAACAGCTAAATTGTTCAAATAGCAGTTTAAAGGCATACTGATATCCTCAGACAAGTGAAGTATTCAGCAATTCTAAAACTTAAAACAAAACTGAATCCAAGATCCACTCTATCTTTATCACTCTGAGTTTAACCATTATCTAGTTTCAATTTTGATGACTAAAATAATCTCTACAAATACTTTCACTGTCTGTAGGGTCTTAGAAGATTACTTTAACAGAAGCACAAGTGTCTCACAATAATTAATTTTCTACCAGTATCTCAAGAAAAAAAGCATTAGAATGTTAAAGAAGTGAAAAACACCAATTATAAAATCTCTACTTCTATACAGTAGGACTAATAAGAGGGGAAATCATCATGAAACACTATTTTCTTTTTTTCTTTTGAGTTGGAATTTCACTCAGTCGCCCAGACTGGAGTGCAGTGGCTGCTCCCAGCCACCGCAGCCTCGCCTGATGGGCTCCAGCGATCCTTCCGCCTCAGCCTTCCAAGTAGCCGGAATTACAGGCATGCGCTACCACGCCCAGCTGATTTTTTGATTTATTGTAGAGATGAGGTCTCACTGCCCAGGCGGGTCTCGAACCCGCGGACTCAGGCAATCCACTCACCTCAGCCTTCCAAAGGCGCGGGATTACAGGCTGAAACACCGAGCCCAGGTTGAAACACTATATTCAAAGAAATTTTTATCACATTCAAGAACTGTACTCAACTATTTATTTACTAAGCTGTAAGCATGACGTAGAAAGAAAATGAATGAGAAAGAATGAGTGTTGAGAAAAGAAAGAAGTCAGAGCAAAAGCTTGACACAGATCATACTGATTGCATCGGAACCTGAAAGATAGGAGCAAACAGCAAAGAACTCCTTCAGAAAAGCTGAAGAAGCAAAGAATGCCAAGCCTGACTTAACTCTTAAAAAAATACTTGTTTTTTTTAACTTTTCTTTTTCATAGAGTGAACTCAAATCACTCTATGAAAAAGATACCTGGCCATTGCTAGAACATCACTGCTACTGTCTTGCTAGACTCTGGTGTGGCCATGTGCTCCATGAACTATGGTTGTCACCAAGCTTCCTGGCTTTGGCCCCCTCCCCTACCTTGGGGAGGTGAATCTCTTCTTTCTCTCTCTCTAATTTACTTTCTAAATAGACTATATTCTTTAATCTTAAAAAAAAAGAAAGAAAGAAAAAGATACCTGGACATGCATGTTTATTGCAGCATTATTCACAATAGCAAAAACATGGAACCAACTGTGCTGCTCACTGAAAGAGGACTGGATAAAAAAATGTGGTATATATACATGACAGGATATTACACAGCCATAAAGGACAAAATTATGAACTTCACAGCAACTTGGATGGACTTAGAATCTAAAATACTGAGTGAACTATCACAGAAACAAAGAACTGAGTATCACAAGTTCTCACTCATAAGCAGACCTTGAACAATTATCATAATACGATTAGGAAAGGAATTGGCTGGACACAGTGGCTCTGCCTTTAATTCCAGCACTTTGGGAGGCTGAGGCCAGATTTCGAGACCTCCTCTTTACAACAATAAAAAAAATAGCTGGGCGTGGTGGTGCGTGCCAATAGTCCCAGCTACTTTGAAGGCTGAGATGGAAGGATTGCCTGAGGTCAGCAGGTGGAGGCTGCAGTGGCCATGAGCATGTCACTGAACTCCAGCCTGGGCTACAGAGTGAGACTCTGAATAAAAAAAAAAAAGAAAAAAGGGATTGGCAGTACTGAGTAACTGCCAGGGGTAGGGGGTGGAGCGGCACACATCATCAACAAGGGTACCTATCTGCATAATGAACATTTGTATACCTAACCCTGAATTGTACCCCACATTTTAAAAATAAAAACAATTTTTTTAAAGGAAAAAGAAACCTGTTTTTTAAATTATAAAGAAGTCATGTAATAATGAAGAAAATAGACTCAAAATACTGAGTAAAAATATATGAATCAATAATAAATAATATCCGATAAGTTATCTGCATCACTGAAGATAAAGGAGAAAAAGCTGAAAATAATACTTTTCAAAGAGTGCAGCAGAGAGAGAACCTTAAGAGTAGAAGCTGAAAATTCCATAATATTAACCTTAATAAAAAGGAACGCTCATTTAACCTAAGCTGACAACTGGCAGTCAAATAAAACATCTTCTTGTAATAAAAGGTGAATGTTAAATACAAAAAAAAGTGATATAAAAACATTAAAGTATGTTCAAAATGAGTCTAGTTAGTTCCCAATCCTAACACTTCTCAGATTAAATTTATCTTTGAAAAATAGTAAGTTATTATCAAAAGTAGTAGGAAGTTCCCATGATTATTAGCACTTTATTTTTTTAGCATAATTAAAATGCCCTCACATTTTCTTAGACTGGCTTTAAAAAAGTCTTTATTATGAAAAACTTCAAATCTCAGTGGTTTTTAAAATTCTCTAAACTTACCTAAGAGTCTGACTATTTATGCACTAGATATAGAAAGCAATAATTATATCCTGAATCATATTTTCTCCACTCACTTTCATTTTAATTTCAAAGGTGAATTTCCATAGATAAAATGCTGGCTCCAAAAAGTTGAATGTCTTTATCAATCTTCAAAGTAAACTTTAATTCTCCCAAGAAACCATACAAGAAAAACAAATTCAATGGAAGAAAATCAAAGAACATAAAACACTGTTTACCAAAACACTGAAGGCAAGACTAAGTCTGTTTACTTGACTTAATAGAAACTGAGTGCTTAACCCAACAATATGCCATTGCTCCAAAACTATTAGAGTGAAACAGAATCACTACTTAAGAGCAGTAGGTAACCTTAACTCTACGTACAAAAGTAGTACACTGCCTTTTGAAAGGCTTGAACTCTTATTTAACATGATCAATTAAGCACTTATTAAAATCTTAATAAATTAATCAAAAATAAATATTAAAATAAATTGTTAGCCAGGCATGGCAGCTCACACCTGTAATCCCAGCACTTTAGAAGGCTGAGGCGAGAGGACTGACTGAGCCCAAGGGCTTGAGACCAGCCTGGTCAACATGACAAGACCTCGTCTCTACAATTAAAAAAAAAAAAAAAAAATTTAGCCAGACATGGTGGTGCACACCTGTGGTTCCAGCTACTTGGAAGGCTGAAGCAGAAGGATCACCTGAGCCCAGCAGTTCGAAGCTGCAGTGGCCGTGAGTGTGCCACTACATTCCAGCCTGGAAGACAGAGTGAGACTCCCACTCAAATAAACAAATTGCTGTGAAAGCCAAGTCTGGCTCCAGCTTTATAAAGTCAAGGTTTGATAATAAAATGAATAGGAATTAAAGACTCTAGCTTGGTGTTTGCAAGTTCATTGAGGAGAAAAAAATGAAACATAAGCTAAAATGAAAAATTCCAAGCAAATAGGCAAGAAAACAATCATACCAATGAGAACACTTTTCATCCAATTATTAAAGTTTCTTAGGTAAAAAATACGACTTTGACTACGCTTCTCCAAACCAACTTCCTGAAGTTCATTGTAATGGGCAGCCACTGCTGAACTGTGTCCTTCTTCAAGATTCTGAAAAGAAGAGAATGAAACAAAATGAAAGATCAGAACTTGATGAAAAATAAGCCTCAGAGGATCTCACCTATAAAAGGATAAAATACTACTGAAATTGGTAAACTTCACTAAGCAATGGCATTGACCACAGAAATCCCCTAATTATCAGCAGGCCAAAGATTTGTTTTCTTCAGGTTCCTAATTTGAAACAAAAACATCTGGAGGTTTAAAATTTTCAGTGTAATCTTTCATATAAATATATATATATTTTTTTAGTTGGAGTCTCACTCTGTCGCCCAGGCCGGAGTACACCTGCATGCCCATGGCCACTGCAGCCTCAACCTGCCGGGTTCAGGTGATCCTTCCACCTCAGCCTTCTAAGTAGCTAGAACTACAGGTGTGCACCACCAAGCCCAGCTAATTTTTTTTTTAATTTATTGTAGAAACAAGGTCTCACCAAGTTGCTCAGGGTGGTCTTGAACACCTGGGCTCAGACAAACCTCTCGCCTCCGCCTCCCAAAGTGCTGGGATTACAGGCATAAGACACTGTGCATGGCTATAATTTTAGTGTCAATGTCTTAATAAAACCAGTACTCTTCCAGAGTTCTGATTTAATTAATTCAATACTCGACAGTTGATGGATAGTGTTTCTACAAGGGAATAAGCTTTAATTATAATATTATTATATATAAAGTCATTGTGAGAATCAACCCTTTGCACTTGGATGTCTCCTCTGAGGGGACATCGTAAATCTAGCAAACCATCCAGATGGCCTCTTACAGGGGACATAAAAAGATTGCTGGTGTTCATATAGGACAAACTTATACAATTAAAAAAATGTATGTTTCCTTTTATGTTTACCATTCAAATTGCACAAGAAAGCAAATAAAGAGATGGAATATATACTAAGATATATGTAAAAAAACAATCAGCTGGTGATATGTAGAAAGAGAATGTGTAAAGCACCTTAACTGACGAGTTCCAAATGCAGCAGGATATCACATGTTTACTGACAGAAGTTACACTAGTATTGTCCTAGCAGAAGAGTTACTAAGGATGAAATGTCACCTTACTGGCACAAAGTCAACCGAAAGGCAACACCAGCACAAATCAAATAGCCAAAGTTTTTAACAAAAAATAAAAACAAACAAACAAAACAATAACAAACAAAGGACTGTTACAATTCTCAGCACTTGGAATTATGCAGGGATGAAATCTACCACAAGGACATTATGTGGTGGAAATATGTCAGTCAAAAGCCTGAAATGATTCTAAACTATATTGCAAATGTGAGTGGTGTGAATCCTGCAGATCAATACGCTTCTAAATATTTTTTTGTGAAAATATTTAAAACAGTGGAGGAAATTATGCTGCTAAGGAACTAGAAGCGTGCATTATTAACTCCTATATATCGTACTGAGCATCAAAAAAAAAAAAAAAAAAACCCAAAAAAACAAAAAAAAACAATGAAAAACCCTGTGCCCTATTTGAAATTTGTCAAGCTTCTGATCGATCAGTTGAGAAGTGGTTTTCAGGAATCATGAATGTGTTCTTCTTCCACATCATCTTCAAACAACAGACTATACAGTAATTACTTATTATTGATGTGGCAGGAAGAAAATGAGACTGCATTGTCTGCTTCACTAGAAAAAAGCCAGGTGGAAGACATCCAAAAAATTACCATTGCACAACATGTATCAGTGAACCTGCCATGCATGTTGGGGACTGTTTCACACATTACCACAGGTTAGAAAAATATAAGACATAAAATTTTTATACTTTTGTCATAAGTAAGTTCCTCAATGTCCAAAACTTCATTATAAGTCAAATATTGTTACAATAAAGTAAGGTTCCAAAGCTATACTATTTAATATGAAGTGATTTGTTTTTCCCTATTTTGTAAAAAGGAGTAGTCAAGTTGCTGGGAGGTGATCTGCCAAACATCTCCGAGTGCAAAGGGTTAAATAAGATAACATATATAAAGGGATTAGAACTTACTGCACTATGTTCAGTGTCAGTGATTTCTATTATTATATGCTATATCTAACCCAACAGGTCTCCATCTGCACTCCACAGCCCAAGGCATTCTGTAATGCTAGGGCAGGTAAAGGGCTTCAGATCCCACCCCATCTCCCTTTTCAGTCAAAGTGCCTCATTTTTTACCTGTTTTGCATTATCAGGTTTAAGTGTAAGATTTTCACTTAAAAAAAGGTTCTGCTGCCAGTAAAAGTGCAAAAACTACATTTACTACAAGTCCCCTTCCATTACAAGGATTCACACTTCACCAATGACAAAGCCCTGGTCTATTGGCCACTGTCCTCTTTTGGGCAAATGGCAGAATTTTATTCACTCATTAAAGTACTCTTGTCCTTCAACTTCAGATTCTGCCTCAGATTCCTTTCTAATGTAGTACTTCACCCTAAAAATGGCTTGCTATCACTTGCTCTATATATCCCCACTAAGCATCAGGCGTTTACATCCACTTAAGTAAAACTATGCAAAATACATGAACAAGAAGTTGAAAACAATTAGAGTTTAAGGAATTACATTAATAAAGGGATGTAAAAGTTGGTATGATTTTGGAATTTTTCACTTCAAATGATAATCTTAATTTCTTCTGACTCAAAAGAGATGAACAGTTAATTAAAAATAAAAAAGGGTAAATCATTTGAACCTCATACTCTCATCTTTTTTAAAGCAGAAAAAGCAAACTAAAAAAATGGTTCTCAAGTGTCTAGTTAAATAAGAGTTCTAAAATAACATAAAAATTATCTCAGTAGCTGAGTGCAGTGGCTCACACCTATAATCCCAGCATTTTGGGAGGCTGAGGTGAGGGGACTGCCTGAGCCGACGGATTTGAGACCAGCCTGGGCAACTTGGTGAGACCTCATCTCTACAATAAATTCAAAAATTAGCTGGGAATGGTGCATGTGCCTGCAGTTCCAGCTACCCGGAAAGCTGAGGCAAAAGGATCACCTGAGCCCAGCAGGTCGAGGCTACGGTGGCCATGAGCATGACACTCTACTCCAGCGTGGGTGACAGAGTGAGACTCCAACTCAAAAAAACAAAACAAAAACAACTCAGCAGCATAAGTTTATCTTAACAAAAATTAATCATAAGAATCAAAAACCTACTTTGTTGAAAAACCACTATCTATTTAAAAAATAAGTCTAAAGCTAATATGCAAAACCCGTATTATTCCACAGCTGCTCCACATTTCAAAAGGACATATTCTATTACAGGTGAAAGAAAATACAAGTCAACATACTTTCTGCTTTTCATGAAAATCCTCAAATTCTTGTTTTCTCTTCTTTGGAGTTCCATTTCCAGTGGAAAGTTCACCTTTTGGAAGATCCTCAGTTTCCCTTTTTCTTTTCTTTGAGATGCCTTCATCATCACAGGAACCTTTTTCCTCTAAGACAATCTCAGCATCAAGTTTTCTTTTCTTGAATGGAGTATCTTCTCCAGAACTGAAACTTTCCTTTACAAGGTCATCTTCAAACTCTTTTCTCTTTCTTGGTGTGTCTAGAGTCTTTTCAGAAAGTCCAGTCCCAGAAGCTATTGTAGTTTCATTAATACTGAATGAAGACTCTGTTTCAGAATTTACTGATGCTTTTGCCCGTTCAAGAGACATCTTTTCATATTCCTCAGCTTTTGCAGAATTTTCCATTTATGATTACTTGAAGTGGTGGTCAAACTTCATGAACAACACTGGAATGACAAAAATTTGATATGACTTGTAAACACAAGTTTACAAATTTTATGCTAAGAATTTAAAATAACTTTAATTAGAATTAAAGTAAATGTCAGTGTTCAACTAGAGGTTTTAAAAATCTCACTGTAGAGAGACTATTCAAAAATGTTAAGCACTAGTTGCGGTGGCTTATGCGTATAATCTCAGCAACTCGGAAGGCTGAGGCAGGAGGATTGCTTGAGGTCAGGGGTTCAAGACCAGCCTGGGAAACATAGCAAAGATAACTATCACTACAAAAATACAATAAAATTTAATTTAATTAAAAAAATAATTAAACACAAAATTACCTCAATTTATGTGTATTAATTCCTTGAAGACACAAAGTTGTTTGGGCATAAATGCTATGAAATTCTTTGGAGTAAATTACTTAATAAATAGAAATGTTAGGTATTTCTTTTGGCCTAGAGACACTAAAAGCATCAAGAACAGAACAAGTTTGGGAATCTACAGCAAGGACTTCTGAAATCATACTTCAGAAAGGGTGTCCCAATTAGGTAGAAAGTGAAGAAAGTGGAAATGGCTTTAGAGAAGTTTCAAGACTCAGACTGCAGTTTAATAACCACTAAGTCTCTTAGACCCATGTGCAAAATGGGAGGGAAATAATCATTCTCTGGACAGGAATCATTATGGTGGTTCATTTATTAAGCCATTTGACAACTTTACTGACCTCCTGTTACAGAGGAGCTCAATGTGATTTCTATTTTCAAGAAGCCTACACCTTACATACCACTATTAAAATGTTAGGCTGTGTTATTCAAATCAAATGAAGAAGCAAAGCAAAAGTCAAAAAAAAAAAAAAAAATCAGTGAGATTCAGCAAATTCAGAATACATTCAGAATATGAAAGGCGTGAAAAGGGAAAAAAATTGCAAATCCTTTTGAGTAAAGGAAAAGAATGATAAGAAATCAACTTGCTTAAAGGAATGAGTAACAAGTCATATGAGCAAGGAAGGGTTTCAAGGAATATTATTTTTCACTACCCAATGTTTAAGGTAACAAAATGCTAAAGCATGACAAATAGAAAGAACTTAATCAGAGAACAACAACAAAAACATCAGAAGTAATAATATGTAGAATAATTACTTAAAATGATTATCTAGGAAAACTACCAAATTATCCAATCCCTGTTTCTTCTCCTCTGTCATTCATTTCCTAATAAAAACAGAAATTGGGTTTAAATTCAAATTTAAAACTTACATATTACCATTAGCTGTAATTACTGCCTAAAATTAATATTGAGATTTAAGTGTGACCATTACTTATATAGGCTACTATTTCACAGATATGATAAAGTCATAATCAATTTGGTCATAATAAATGACACAGCATTTCAGATGATCACAGAAATGACTAAGAATATTTAAAACTGAGTATCTTATTTACAGCCAACTCATTTTGACAAAGGCACCAAGACCATATACTATGGAAAAGACAGTCTCTTCAATAAATAGTGCTAGGAAAACTTGATAAACACATGCAGAAGAAAGAAATTAGACCCCTATTTCTCACTATCTGCAAAAATCAAATCAAAATGGATTAAATACTTACATGTAAACCACAAACTATAAAACTACTAGAAAAAAAAATTGGTCATTTGCAAGGCATTGGTCTGAACAAAGATTTTTTTTTTTTTGGTAAGACCTCTAAAGCACATATAGACAAATGGGATTACATTTGTCTAAAAAAAAAAGCTTCTGCACAGCAAAGGAAACAATCAACAGAGTGAAGAGACAACCTACAGAATGGGAGAAACTATTGGCAAAACTATCCACTCAACAAGGGATTAACAACTAGAATATAGAAGGAACTCAACTCAACAGCAAAAAAAGAAACAATCCAATTAAATAATCAAAAGATCTGAATAGACATTTCTCAAAAGAAGACACAAATGGCCAATAAGTATATTTTAAAATGTTCAACATCACTAATTTTCAGAGAAATGCAAATCAAAACAATAGAATATCATCTCATTCAAGTCAAAATGGCTTTTACAAAAAATTTTTTTAACTTTAATATGAAGGTGTGGGGTACAAGTCAGTTTAAGTAATGTATGTGTAGGTGAAGTTTGGGCCTCCAACTGGTCCTCACTTCTCCTGGTTTAGGATCAGGTACCCTCTGTGTTGTTACTGCCCCCTACCGCCCCCCACAGTGCTCTGTGATTGCCAGTCCCTCCCTTGTGTTACTGCGGTTAATGTTCGGGTCCCCCTAATGAATGAGAACATGTAGTATTCAGCTCTTTGTTTCTGTGATAGGTTGTTAAGAATGATTGCCTCCAGTTCCATCCAATTTGCTGAGAAGTCCACGATTTTGTTTTTCTTTATGGCCATGTAATATTCCATCTTGTATATGTACCACATTTCCTTTAACTAGTCTACTTTCAATAGGCAGTGAGGTTGGTTCCATGTTTTTGCTATTGTGAACAGTGCGGCAATAAACATGCACGAGCAGGTGCCTTTTTTGTAGAATGATTTGTTCCTCCGGGTAAATTCCCAGGAGGGGGACTGCTGGATAGTATGGAAGGTCAATTTATAGTTCCTTTAAATATCACACTATATTCCACAGAGATTGGACTAGTTTGCTTTTGCTCCTGACAGTGTAGGAGAATCACCTTTTCTCCATACCCACATTACTGTTCTTTGATTTATTAATGATGGCCATCCTCACTGGGGTAAGGTGGTATCTCAGTGTGGTTTTGATTTGTTTTTCTGATGATTAGTGAGACTGAGCATTTTTTTCATGTATCTGTTGGCTGTTCATATGTCTTCTTTTGAGAAGTGTCTTTTCACATCCTCTGCCCTTTTTTTTTTTTTTTTGAGTTGGAGTCTCCCTCTGTCTGCCCATTTTTTAAACAGGGTTGTTTGTTTTCCTTTCCACTCTTTTGAGTTCCTTGTAGATCCTGGATGTTAGGCCTTTGTCAGATACATAATTAGCAAATATTTTTTCCCATTCTGTGGGCTGTCTCCCCACTACCTTGATGGTTTTTTTTGCTGTGCAAAAACTTTTCAGTTTGATGAGGTACCACTTAGAAGAATGAAACAGAACTTCCTTCCAACCTACTTAACCACAAGCCTTAGTTGCCCCCTAGCAATGCCAACCACGGTTTTCCCCTCAAGCCCTATAACTGCCCTAGCCTGTAAGTGTTGGCCCCACTCCACACGCCTCTTCCTTGGAATAAACCTATTTTGATGTTGAGCTGCCGCCTGTCACCTGTCTCTCTTTTCCTATCTGCTCACTTTCTTGACCTAACAATCAGTATATGGAAAAGATATCAGCACTTCCATGTTTTCAGCTATTTCACAATAGCCAAGAAGATACAGAATCAACAGATGATTGGATAAAGACAATGTGGTATACATACACAACAGATTATCATTCACTCATTAGAAAGAATGAACTGTCATTTGCAACAATGGATGGAACCGGAGACCATCATGCTAAGTGAAATAAACCAGGCACTGAAAGACAAATATCGCACGTTTGCACTCATAGGTGGAAGCTAAAAATGTGAAATCCCATGGAGGTAGAGAGTAGACTGGTGGTTATCAGCGGCTGGGAAGGGTAGGGAAAATGAGGAGGATGAAGAGATGTTGGTCGGTAGGTATAAAGGGACAGTAAGGTAAAAGAAGTAAGATGAACAGTTTGATATTTAACAGTAATTTACGTTTCGTATAGCTCAAAAAACAGCTGAAAGAAATGGTATGTTCCCAACGTAAATGTTTGCGCAAATGGATATCCCAGTTACCCTAACTTCATCGGTGCACATTGTATGCACGCATCCAATGATCACCTGTACTCCCAAAACATGTACAACTATTATGCATGCATTTGAAAAACTGGCGGGGGGGGGTGAGCTCAAAAGTGGCATGAACACACTCGAAAGAAACCTGACCCTCGGAATCCCCGAGGAGAAAGCTTCAAGAGACGGTTGCTGCTATCGAGAAGAACAGCCGTAAATAACCACGTGGACGCTTCGACCCGACGTTCCGCTAACACCTCCGAAGCAAGCCGCTTCTCCTCATCATTTTTTTCTCAGAATGACCGAGCAGGGTGCCACGCTGAAGCTCAAGCCGGATGGCCCCAGCGCCCCACTCGCCGGCCAGACCGTCCACTCGGGCGGGGAGGACGCCACGGAGGCGAGAAGGGCGTCCTCCCGCTGAGTTCGCCCTCTCCCGTCCGCGGAGCGGCCTCGGACTCCACCTCCGGCTCGGGAGTCCAGACCTCGGACTCCCACCTCCCGCCACGGCGCGCGCCCAGGCCGCCCTCGCGCCCGACTTCGTCTCCCACCCGGGCTCGCTCGGGCTGGAGGAGCGGCGGCGCCCGCCCGCCCCAAGCGGCTCCCGTGCTGCTTCCGGCCGAGGGCGCGACCCAAGAACTCCCACGCCACGGGTCCTGGGTGCACGGGGCTGAGGCGGAGCGAGCCCACGTCGGGAGCCGGAGTGCCCCTCGCAGCTCCGCCACGGCGGCCACGGGGCGCAACCCGAAGGGGAAAAGCGGGGCCGGGGCGGCAGCCACACTCACCTGCACGGCCTCACACGCTTGTGTTTGCGGAAACGGCAGCCGCGCGC